CCCCCCCCCCCCAAAAAAAAACCCCAGAAAAAATATTCCAAGTTCTTCACAGTCAGAGCCTCTATATTTGCCATTTGTTGTGGGTTCCCCTTTCCTCTAATAACATAATACTCGAGCAATAACCAAAAAACAAAACAGTAAAAAGAATGTAGCATAGTGTCAGATGGAACAAATGAATCAATATGATCAATAAATTTAGGGGATGATACATTTTAAGGCACTAACCTCAGCAGCTGCTAGAGGAGCAACTGCACGAGCTGCTTCTGCAGGCATGCGAAAATCTTGCCTTTGTTCAGTGGTACCATTTTGCCTTCTCACTGGCACTTTAGATGAAGAGAGTTGGATTTCAGTATACCTAGTTTTTGCTATTATCAGATTCTTGGTAAAGAGGTGGATCTGCCTGGATTATGGATTCAGTTTATTGAGTGATAGCAAATTTACTGGTCCATGATTTTGGGTGATGTGGAGAAATTTCAAACATTGGATGTGTTCTTTAGAAGAAATTGATCATCTTTCTGGCTATTTGGACCGATTATATATTTAGTCTGGTTTACTTTGGTTGCTGGTCACAGCATCTCAATCATTCTGAAACTCATGTCTTTCCATAATCTTGGTGAGTTTACCTCCTTGTTTTTCTGGGCATTACTACTTTGATCAGGATTATTGATGATGTGTTGAATTTAAAGGTTTTCTAAGCTACTTTCAAATTTGAAATGTGTCAGATTGATCCTTTCTATTTCTGTGCTAATCATCATGTAAATTAATGGCTCTGTTAAGCACAGCTAGCCATTTTATTGTAAGGATCTTAGTGGATATGTTTTGAAAATCCCTGTGCAGGTGAATATATTGCTTGTGGAAGTGATGATGGAAGATGGTTTATTTGGGAGAAACAAACTGGTAGATTGATAAAAATGCTTCATGGAGATGAAGCTGGTATTTTTCTTTCTGTTCTCATAAATTTGTTAAGTTCTTGTACTTTGCAGTGGTTGTTATACCATGTTATATCTAGTCTGACATCTCGGCCTTCATCCCTATTCAGTTGTAAATTGTGTACAGTGCCACCCATATGATTGTGTTGTGGCTACCAGTGGAATTGATAGCACCATTAAGGTGAGAGAGAAATGGCACAAGTATTTGGGAATAGTGGTCACTATTCGTAATGGCAGATTTACATAGAGTCATGTGCATGTATTGCTTTTCAGATTTGGACTCCGAGTGCGTCTGTCCCTTCCCTTGTGGCTGGTGGAGCTGCAGGACCAGAGACTTCCAATGTGTTAGATGCAATGGAAAGCAATCAACGCAGATTGTGCCGCACGCGTGAAGCTGTCTTGTAAGACTTAACAGGCTTATCATTTTCTTTTAAATTGATTTTATAGATGCTTTGGGACATAACTTCTATTGTACACCCGTCAAAACTTTAATAGGGCAGCGCGGTGCATAAGGCATCCCGTGTGGGTCCGGGGAAGTGCCGCACCCCAAGGAGTGTGATGTTGACTGCCTACCCTAATGCAAACATAACATTAGTGGCTTCTTCCACGGCTCGAACCCGTTATCTATAGGTCACACGGAGACAAATTTACCGTTGCTTCAAAGGCTCCCCTTCACCCGTCAAAACTCTAATATGGAATTGAAAAGCAGACTCTGTTAGTTTCTTCCTTCGGGTGATCCGATTATTCATGATCTGTCTTTTATTTCTATAGCCTGGACATGGTAGCTCATAGCCCTGTTTCACCCTGTTTTCTCCTCTGTTTTTGAAGCTACTTTATGTTAGCTCAAACCCGTTCCTCCATTCTTGTTGTAAGGCACCTTAAGAAATATAATAGATCACCTAATCTTGATGAGAATATAGTAGTGTTGATAATGCCAGAATGACAGACTTCCACGTTGACTGATAGATGAGAAATGGATATTTTCCTATTTTAGCTGTTAGTCTCTGACAACTCCGAGCTAAACATATTGTTCTCTGCAGGCCTTTTGAATTTTTGGAGAGATTTAGGATGCACGAGTTTACAGAAGGCAGCTTACATCCATTCGAATGCACGCAAAGCTGAGAAGGTTAAGCTGATTTTCTTAAATACTGGTATGATAAATTGTTATCTAACCCGTGCAAACTTTTTGTGTCTGTCAATTGTGTGATATACCTGAAAGTTCCACTTGAACTGAAATATTGATGTATGAGCTTTTGCATCACCTTCTTCTGAGTTCCTACAAACTATAGCAATGGTAGCTTTCTGGCAACTTCTTGTTTGAGAAAATGCACACCAATATCTGATAAGTCATTGTTCCTGTACATCCTAGGAATTTTTTCTGATAAGATTCTCGTGGATAATGCTAGAGTAACAACAATGATGCATGGTAGATGTATCTGATAAGATTTCTATAGATAAGGCTAGAGTGACGATAATGATGCATGGTTAATGTATCCTCAGTCAGATGACTTTCCTTGACTAGCCCATAGGGAGCATTTGGAAGTCACATGCTACCAGTGATTTAGCAAAAGATGGTCACGTTGCACCTAATACGGGTTCATTCATGTTCTAATTGCAATAATACGAACATGCATATGGTTTATGGTGCCATTTATCTTTAAATTAGCTCAATGTGCCAAAAATGCAGCAATGTAAAGATGCTCATTAAGGCAAAATGAATATTTGATCAAGATCGGTAATCTAATATTTTTTTCGTGTTTGGTCTTTTTCAGTGAAAAAGGGGACATAGGTTATTGTTTCTTTGTTGTTGGACTAACAAGTTCGTTTTGCATATATGCCCATAGTATTGTGCTCACTATGTAACACATTTTTTCTATTCATCAGTAAAATTAACAGAAGTGCAAGTTTCATCGTCTCGTGTCATTCATAGATGACCTAGTAGGTGGCTTAGCGAATTTTACTTCTGAGGTAGGGGTTTGAGGTTGGGCTTAATACACTACAGTACACCGATGAGAGAATTTCAAGGAGTGTGACAGAAGCGAGCAAAATGTTGTACCTGGGTTTTAACCATTTTGTCGTTGAAGCTTGTTTGCGTTTGACCGGGTTGCTTTAGTTTTGGAATGCTGTAGGTGCTGCAGTCTTGCTTGTGTTGTATTAACGTGTGTGTTTTACTACAGATGGTGGATATGAAGTTTATCCGTTGGACATGCTGGCATGGGAAGGAAGAGAGTGGAATGTATAGTTAACCAAGTCGATTGAAAATTTTGGCTCCCAAACCAGCTGAAGTTTGATCCAATTGTAATTCATATTTCTGTGCAGTCTTTCCTGGTGACGTGTTTCACTGTATTATATTTTAATTCTTCTCAGCTGTCCTCTCTTCCTATGAGGTCTCTGTAAATATATATCTCGGTCTTTTATCTTACATAGTAATACATTCAAGTTAAACATGGTCTATCCTCATTGTATTTGATTGATAGTTCAGAGGCTTAGATTAGCAATAGCAGAGTGCCGTTGGCTTCAACTTTTAATGTGTGAGAATGTCAGCTAATAGTGTGTTTACTGTGGCAGAAAATCATATCCTTGGTGAACTAGGGTTTCAGTTTTCCGTCATTTTTATTTTTCGTAAATTCTCTCTCTAGCAAAAATATTTCTCAAAGTGAGGAGAGAATGACTACTTGTGAGTTATTTCCTTTGGATAAGAGGAAGTTTAGTGCATATTTTTTGCATGCCCTTCATTCAACTGTCGAATGAATATACGAGGGTTTGTCATGTTAAATATAGTAGTAAAAGATCTTTTGAAGCTCAGAAACTAAATAAGTAAAACAAATTCCTCCGACCATAGGGGTTATTCCCTCCGACATTTTTTCCGAGTTATCCCCTTAAAACTCGGCGGATTCTAGTTCTTTAATTGATCATTCACTCAAGTGCGTTTGTACGATGACATAGAAACTTCTAGAATGACCAAGGACTAATCCATTGATTTGGTTTCTTTTTATATCTTGAAACAGAAAGTCAAGAATGTAATTTCTCGAAAAGGAAATATATATCTGACAATTCGCAAGAATTTTATGGTGTAAATAGAGCTATCCAATTAAAGATAAAGGACAAAAAAAGAAGAAGAAATCTAATGGAAAAAAAGAAGAAATTGGCTTGATTGATTTGGGTTAGGAAACTGAATTTTGACTATTAAAGCAGATGATTGTCTATTTATGTGGTATTGGTGAAAAAAATGGTTTCCCAACGTGGTGACCAGACACTAATTGTGATTAGGATGACTACTTTAGTTCAAGTATAATTAGTTAAAGTGCAGTGCAAGAGAATAATACAAACCTAATAATCTTGGACGCAACTTTACCAGATTTATTCGAAACATATAGGGATTGGTGAGACATGTCATATATTCCATAAATCAAAGAAACTGGTTTTGACAGATCTGATAGATTAATTGTCTAATTTTGGTACGAAATGACATTTTGCTCTTTTAAGTTAGGAGCCGCGTCTTGAGAGCGTTTGTAAGAGTTTTGACAAATGACAATATGTTGCCTGTTTCTCTTTTGTTTTCTCTACGCGTGAACCATTTTCAGCCGTTTTCTTGTTGAGGGTCTATCACAAACAGCTTCTCTGTCCTTTCAGGAGTAAGGGTAAGACTGTGTAACATCTTAGCCTCCCCATATAAACTACTAGATTTGTTGTTGTTGTTATTGCTGTTGTTGTACGTGTGGACTATTTACTATCTTTGCTATGCTAAAAAAAATCCTTCTTCCTCTTCCTTTTTAACCCGAGGCCGAAAATATAGGTTTAATGAGTTCAACTAGCATACATTTTTTTTATATATATAAGTGTGTGAAAAATATATAAAATCTCAAAACTATTAAGTTCTGAACTTAATTATAATTCTAAACGAACAATGGGTTTAGTGTTAGAAAGTTAAATTCATCATATTTTAATTCTAAATCCGTCTTTGCCACCCCACAACCCTTTTATCTTTTTTCTTGGATTTAGAGTTGAAAAAAGAAAAAAAAGTAACTTGTTGAATCTAGAACACGTTTTGTTGAAATTATGTACGGTCATTTTTATGAAATTTTGTAGCCAATATCATTTATAAGTATGGGATTTTCCATGCCACTCTACGATCGGCTAATTCAAAATACCAAAGACTTTTTTGGAAAGTTTATCAGCAATAGTAAATACAACTTTTAATGTGAAATCTTCTAAGAAGACAATTAGTATTTCACCATGTGAGCATTCGAATTAAATGGTATCTTCAGTAATTTATATATTAATCAATTACAAATCATAGGTACAACTATAAATGGATCAATAGAACTCCTTTTCCCCACCACTTAAAGCCTAAAGGATGGAGAAAAGAAGCAAACAAGAATTTCCTTTTCCTCAAATTGCTAGTCTCTGCATCAACCGTGTCCGACAAACCAAAAATAATACACAATTTGCATACATTAATCTTGGTTATCAACTTTAATTTGTTTAATTAAGTATGATATATGTCAAAATCAACTTTATTTATCTTGGACTTCTATTCCTTCTCTCATTATTTCTTAGTCAGGTCGTCTTAATTAGTAAAAAAAATTAGAACGAGTGAACAACGAAAGAAAGTCCACTCAAATACATTTTAAATTCTAAACAAATAATTAAAGAATGTAGCTACGTGCCCCACGGTTCTTTTTCAGCAACTAACTGGTGGCAAATTACAATAAATTACGTACTTGTCACTGACGGACCCTTGAAAATGATATGATGATTCATTTCAATATTCATACGCAATTCTAAGAAAGAAAGTATAAAAAAAGGGGGAAAAAAAGAGATAAACTTTCTCCTTCTATTATGTGATTGATGATCTTTTTCTTTTCTTGTGTGGCAGACAATCCCCTACAAGACCCCATCCCCCCCCCCCCCCC